AGTTTTTATGAGAAAACATCAGCAAATAGTGACTAAATCTGATGACAATAAAAAATAAGTATAAAAATAATTATATAAATAATTAGTATAAAAATAATTATATAAATAATTAGTATAAAAATAATTATTGAAAACTTTTTGTAAATCTTGGTTATGGTTCTTTAGAACAAAATATTAAATTTGGAGGAAAAAAAATCAGAAGTTAATTTTTTTTTTCTACACAAATATATAAATGTATGTATACAGCATATTTTAAAATCTATAACACTTAGCTTTTGAAGTATACTTACACACACACATTTATTTTTTTATACATTATACTTATATACTTATTTTTTTTATACATTATACTCTATTTACGTGAATGAGTATATGATTTACTGCGGATTCCATCGGTCATTAATGTACAGAATGAAAGTTCTTCTCGATTTGTTCATTGATATCATAAATCGATAATCAATTCCTTCATTCATGAATGTTCATCGATATCATAAATCGATCATCAATTCGTTCATTAAATGTTCATTAATATCGTGAATCACTCATCGATTCGTTCATTAAGTGTTCATCAATATCATGAATTGAGCATCAATTCGTTCATTTATGAATGTTTATCGATTCGTTCCTTTATGAATGGTTATCCTTAACGTGAATCGAGCATCGATTCTTTCAATTAGGAACTTTTGATAACGTGAAACTATCAGATTTGTTCATTTATGAACGTTCATCGATAAGGTGAATCGATCAGATACGTTCATTTATGAATGTTTATCGATAATGTGAATAGATCATTGATTCGTTCATTTATTAATGTATACTGATATTATAACTCGATCATTGATTCGTTCATTTTTGTTTATTTATAGATAGCAATCTATCATTGATTCGTTCATTTTTGTTTATTTATAGATAGCAATCTATCATTGATTCGTTCATTTTTGTTTATTTATAGATAGCAATCTATCATTGATTCGTTCATTTTTGTTTATTTATAGATAGCAATCTATCATTGATTCGTTCATTTTTGTTTATTTATAGATAGCAATCTATCATTGATTCGTTCATTTTTGTTTATTTATAGATAGCAATCTATCATTGATTCGTTCATTTTTATTTATTTATAGATAGCAATCTATCATTGATTCGTTCATTTATTAATGTAATATGTTTAGTAATAAATGTTTGTAGCAAGTATAAGTAATATGTTTAACTTCATTCTCAATATTTTTTCCGATTATTTATTCAAATATTGATCTTTTAATCAAAAAGATCATAAAAATTCAGGCATTTCACTCCGCACAAATTTTTTTTAATCTTTTCCTTTCTTACTCCCTGCTTAGAATTCATCTTTGAATTGGGCAAGAAAGGATGACAGTAATTTATTCAAGACAAGCAGTTCGTTTCAACTTCAAATATCATTTTTGAAGGCAGCAATTTAATTTAATATCCCAAAAGGCCATTAAATTGAAATAGCTGCATTTTAACTGCACGAAGCATTTTGGCTTTAATGTAGAAAGAAAGTTATTTAATTTTTTAAAATTTTCTTGACTAAAAGACATTATGACAATTTTTTGTCATTTCATGATAAATTATGGAAAAAAGTCGGCAATAAAAAGCCATTTCCTAAGTTAAAAGGATGCGAGGAGTTTTTATATATAAAAAGGCTTTTAATTCATTAGAATTCTCAGAGTATGTTGCTATAAAAAAAAAAGGGGTTTTCCAAGATGTTAGGGAAAAAATATCTATTTTCCCTCAAGCATTTTAGCTTGCTACATTAAAACTTTTAGGATTAATTAAAATTAGCATAATAATTAATATATTTTTGAAAGTGTTACCAGAAGTTTTTAAAAGGTTGCCTTTCATTCATGAAAATATTATCTTGAATAAATTTAAGGTATATTAATTTTTATTAATACGGAAAATATTTAACTAAAATTATGTGAAAAAAAAATTATAAGTCTCGTGTAATTAAGAATCTCGTATCTATTGAATTAAAATTACAATTTTAAACTATTATAATTTGATCAAAACTAGATAAATAATTTAAAACAAAACTTTACTGTATGATTATAAATAATTTAATTATTCTTTTTATTCCATAGAAAATTAATTAATATATATTTGGATGTCATGTTTCAGTATAATTCGAATTCAACTTTTAAAAAGTACAAGTGAAAATTATAATGAATATTAATATTATTAATGATGTATATAAATATTCTAATTAGATGGATATTCTAATATTCTAACTAGATGAATATTCTAATTTTCTAACTAGATGAATATTCTAATTTTCTAACTAGATGAATATTCTAATTTTCTAACTAGATGAATATTCTATTATTCTAACTAGATGAATATTCTATTATTCTAACTAGATGAATATTCTAATATTCTAACTAGATGAATATTCTAATATTCTAACTAGATGAATATTCTAATATTCTAACTAGATGAATATTCTAATATTCTAACTAGATGAATATTCTAATATTCTAACTAGATGAATATTCTATTATTCTAACTAGATGAATATTCTATTATTCTAACTAGATGAATATTCCAATATTCTAACTAGATGAATATTCCAATATTCTAACTAGATGAATATTCCAATATTCTAACTAGATGAATATTCCAATATTCTAACTAGATGAATATTCCAATATTCTAACTAGATGAATATTCCAAAATTCTAACTAGATGAATATTCCAAAATTCTAACTAGATGAATATTCCAATATTCTAACTAGATGAATATTCTAATATAAAACTATATATTTTCATCTAATAATTTATTTTATGTTTCAAATTCTTTGTGAATTTTCCACTTAGTATTCATTCACTTAAAGGCACTATTTTTAAAATGATACAGTGTAACCGTGCTTCCTCCTACACACTGGCAAGCCCTTTGGTATTCAGGAGAAATGATCAGTTGGCTTCGAGACTTTTACCCGAGAGGAAGTACAGTGCAATCTGCGCTCCCGCTGAGAAACGTTTAGTTTCGTCTCTCTTCCAGCGAGGAAATATATTTAGCGCATCCTGGCGCATTAGTTGGTCTACCGACTCTTATTCGGAAAAGAAAGTATATTTCGCGCATTCTGTGCGTGGCCTAGTATCGGGTTTCTGGCTTAGAAGTGGAATCCTTCCACGAATCTATATGCCTTTAAACGTGTTAAAAATTGTATGTCCTTAATTGTGTTTGGCGTTTGTACGTGTTAAATAAAGCTGTGAGTTCTTGAACTTGTCTCAACCCAACCACACCCAGTTACAACCTGGCTGCCCAACCTGCACACTACAGGTTTAAAATTAAAAATAATTGCATAATTTAAACAAGCTGTAAATTTCAGTTTTTATTTACGATCTTTTAAAAACTTGTATAATGATATTAAAAAAAAGCTTAAAAGCGTTTTATAAGCGATATATATATATATATATATATATATATATAGTGTAACCGTGCTACCTCCTGCACACTTGTTGTGCAAGAGCGCCCCCTCTGGCATACAGGCGAAGTGGACAGTAGGTCTCGAGACTCTCATCCGAGAGGAAATATATTTAGCGCAACTCTGCATAATAGTTGGCCTCACTCGGAGATGAAGTGACTTTCGCGTACCCTGCGCATCCCCGAGTATCGGGTTTTCGGCTTAGAAGTGGAATCCTTCCAAGAATCTATATGATTATCTACTTAAAACGCCTTTGCATTAACTGAATTATGTGAAAATATTTTTTGTTGCGATTTAAAAATATTAAGAGCTACTGTAAAACTACTGAATTTTTCGAGTTCTTATCGGCTTCTAACACATTTTTTCCCTTCCATTTTTTTTATTTTGCTGAATTTTTTTTTGAAATAGCCAATATGCACGCGAAACGCAAGATATTAGATTTGCGTGGCAGAAGAATCGTTGTAAAGAACGACAGGAAAAACTTTTTCGGATGCAATAAGTTTTTTTTTTCTTCTTTCGAAATTTGCCGGAAAAGTTGAAAAGAGAGGATTTGCGATTGTGTAGGAGTCTTGAAGTGAGAGGCAGTGGAAAAATAGAAAAAGCAAAAAATAAATAAAATAAAAAATAGACTTCACGGCGTGAAAGCTGAAAAAAATTCAAACTACTGAAAGTTTTTTTCCGAAGAACATTTTCAGAACCCTTTTTTACCTTGCATACCACCCACATTTTCTCCGACTGCTTTTAGTACAGAGATGCATTTTTCATTTTGTCCTTTTCAGCTGTGTAATTTTCAATTTTGATGTATTCATACAACGTTTTTTTGAGAAAATATAAAGTTTGTCCATTTATGGATGCACAAGTAAAACTTTAAGAATTATGTTGCAAAAATAGTTTGATTCAATAAGAATCATAAATATACAGGGAATAATAAATGTCCCACTTTCAAAATGCAGTAAAAAAAAGATCCACTCATCACAATGAGTTCAAATTTGAACTAAAGAAACTTGAAGAAGGGGAAAACGGTGACGGTATCAAAAAATTCCAAAATATAGTAATAGATGGCGCTGTAAGCTGCATAAAGAAAGTGAATTCGGCTGCCAGTGATATTTTGAATTGAAATTACAACGTATTTGGAATGAGTTGCACATTAAACTAACTGTAATGTCCAATGTGTTTGATTGTTTGATGTATAAGTAAAACTTTAAAAAAATAATTTGATCGAATACAAATTATAAACATATATTTTGCAATAAAAACAATACAAATGCCTTTTTCATTTTGTCCTTTTCCGTTATATGAACACATCAAACATGAAAAATAAGCAACTGTTTTAGAGAAAATATAATGTTTGTTTATTTATGGATATACCAAACATTACGAATTATGTTGCAAAAATAATTGTTTTCAATAAGAATTATAAATATATATTAATGTCCTTTAAATTCTCTAGGTATGTTTAAGGGGGTTGACCACATGAAAAAGGAAACGATTTGCAATACACAGTATCCGCTTTAGTAACTGTTATAAAACAAGTACAATGTATCATTTTTTAATTCATACTAATTACAATATACCGGTTCTCGTTAGATCACCGAAGTCAAGCATCATTGGGCGCGGTCAGTACTTGGGTGGGTGACCACCTGGGAACACCGCGTGCCGTTGGCAAATTGGGGACCTGAATGGCCGAGTGTCTCTAGCGCTCTGGCGCTCGGTGCCACAGGTTTCGGGTTCGAATCCCGGCGGTGCCATGGATGTTTGTAGTGGTTCGGAATCCACTTTAAGCCGTAGGTCCCGGTCTCCTATGACTGTAAGAGCGTCACGGAGCAAAAGTCAGGCTTCTACCTACGGGTGCTCCATCACAACAGAAGCTGCTTCCTTCCCCTTCAATCACGAGCACGTATGGGCTCGTGGGCTTGAAAGGGGGTAAGAAAGGGGTAAGGGGGGTAAGGTTTGTGGGATAAGAAACAACAAACAAACAAACATACTAATTACTAATTGGTGTACTAATTGGTCCTACGAAACTTGCCATAAAGGTTTGTGCGAAGGATATATGCGATTGATTTTACAATGATTGCCCATTACTAAAAACCATTAAAATGTGTTGAAGTGTGTCTACCCTAAGCCATAAATAATCTCCCTTTGATATTTAGTTTGCTGATTATCTGCTGCACAGGGACAATGCTCTAGGACGGAATTAAATACCACCCATTGTCGCATTAGTTAGAATTGATGCAAGAACAGAATTGGTTGGGGGGAAATGGAGGCGCGTCATCTTCAGCTACGAATCATGATTCAATTAGGCTTCTAATTACAAGCGTGTGTGTTTGCAGGAGCTATAGTGAATACTTCAAAGATACTTTTCCTTTGGAGCAGCCCACCACGCCTACAATTTCTGTCGTCGAGTTTATTGTATATGACAGTCATTCCCCTCTAGTAATAATTCCCATTACCATGACAAACCAGATTTAAGTTCGTGATATCATTCACCCTCATGTTTTGTCTTTTGTGGTAGAGCCTTAAGGAGATATTTTCCAACAGCATAATGTTTGGCGACTCAAAGGAAGGTAGTCGCCAGATCTCAACGTTGGCACACTTTCTTGGCCAGTTCGATCGCCAGATTTATCACAGATTGAAAATTTGTAAGATGATCTGAGCATTGCGTAATTCAGAGATGGACGTAAATAAGTCTTACTTCATTATTTTTTTAGCGTTGACAGTTTCTGAAAAACTTCATCGGAAACTCGAACAGTATACCAAAAGATATTTTATGGAAAAAAATCCATGAAGCTCTTTAAATGTGCTAATCCATGTAAAACATATTGGAAGATAAAAAGTAAAATATTTCTTTCCTTCAAATTTGGGGTTTACACGTAATTAGTGTTAAAAGTTTGTAGATTCACTACTTTTATTATAACAATTTCGGAACGTTGTCACAAAATTAAAAAACTTATTAACGATCATTGTCTAAGAATATCGTCGGAGATATTTGGTTTGTCACTATACGGTCATTTTTTGCTCACTTTGGGGTAAGTAAACTGGGACCTACAGTTTAACGTGGATTCCGAACCACTAACAAACATTCATGCCACTAAAATCTTTGGTACCACAGGTTTTAGCGGCATGAATGTACCATGCAATCAATGAAAGCAAACTTTTTACTAATGACAAATATAAACTACATATACTTAATTTATTTTACTTTCCTTAATTTAAGTAGACTTCGCGAATTTTTTTTTCAATCATTAATGTACTTATTGAAAATTCTTCTCGGTTTGTTTATCGATATCATAAATCGATCTTCAATTCATTCATTTATGATTGTTTATTGATATTGAATCGATCATCGATACGGTCATTTATGATTCATCGATATCACAAATCGATCGAATTGTTCATTTATGATTGTTTATCTATATCATAAATCGATCGATTCGTCCGTTTATGAATGCAAATCGATTTCTTCATTTTGTAATTGCTGAACTAGCTGAGTACGATAATTTTTTCTGTACCTTTTAAAAAATTTTGTTTTGTCACGTGCAAATGATGTTCATTTTAAATGTCTAAGTATAAAGTTTCCATGTGTGTGTGGAGGGGGAGAGGGTATTTTAATTTAAAGGATTACTTTTTTCATAAAACAACTTCAGTTGGCAACTCCCAACCTGTCGGTCATTATACTATTAGAAGTCTAACTACAATAAAGCAGGGATGTAAGGTTTCGAAAAGACGAAAATTGAACTGTAAAAATATTGGAAAAAAACGAAAACTACAACGAAAAATCTCTGTATGAATCTATTAAATCATAATAAACTTGAATCGATTATTTTAACTACATAATATCAACATTTTAATAATTTTTTTTTCCACATTTTTTATTGTAAAATATTTTGTTAAAAAATACTTTGTAGAAAATGTAAATGTATAGAAAAGAAAATATAAAGAATGTTTAAGAAATAATTATAATAAATAAATGTTTAATGGCACAATTGTAATGATTATAACTCTTTAAGGGCACAATTGTAATGATTATAACTCTTTAAGGGCACAATTGTAATGATTATAAATCTTTAAGGACACAATTGTAATGATTATAACTCTTTAAGGGCTCAATTGTAATGATTATAACTCTTTAAGGGCATAATTGTAATGATTATAACTCTTTAAGGGCATAATTGTAATGATTATAACTCTTTAAGGGCACAATTGTAATGATTATAACTCTTTAAGGGCACAATTGTAATGATTATAACTCTTTAAGGGCACAATTGTAATGATTATAACTCTTTAAGGGCACAATTGTAATGATTATAACTCTTTAAGGGCACAATTGTAATGATTATAAATCTTTAAGGGCACAATTGTAATGATTATAACTCTTTAAGGGCTCAATTGTAATGATTATAACTCTTTAAGGGCACAATTGTAATGATTATAACTCTTTAAGGGCTCAATTGTAATGATTATAAATCTTTAAGGGCACAATTGTAATGATTATAACTCTTTAAGGGCTCAATTGTAATGATTATAACTCTTTAAGGGCACAATTGTAATGATTATAACTCTTTAAGGGCTCAATTGTAATGATTATAACTCTTTAAGGGCTCAATTGTAATGATTATAAATCTTTAAGGGCTCAATTGTAATGATTATAACTCTTTGATGGCACGATTGTAATGAGTATAACTCTTTAAGGGCACGATTGTAATGATTATAACTCTTTAAGGGCACAATTGTAATGATTATAACTCTTTAAGGGCACTATTGTAATGATTATAACTCTTTAAGGGCACAATTGTAATGATTATAACTCTTTAAGGGCACAATTGTAATGATTATAACTCTTTAAGGGCACAATTGTAATGATTATAACTCTTTAAGGGCTCAATTGTAATGATTATAACTCTTTAAGGGCACAATTGTAACGATTATAACTCTTTAAGGGCACAATTGTAATGATTATAACTCTTTAAGGGCACAATTGTAATGATTATAATTCTTTAAGGGCTCAATTGTAATGATTATAAATCTTTAAGGGCTCAATTGTAATGATTATAACTCTTTGATGGCACGATTGTAATGAGTATAACTGTTTAATGGCACAAATGTAATGAGTATAAATGTTTAATGCTTTTTTTTAGAATTAGTTAAATTATGCTTGTCAATTTAAAACACTAAATATATTTAAACTTCTTTCTCGACATTTTTTTCGCTTATTTATTCAAATATTGATCTTTTCATCAAAAAGATCATAAAAATTCAGGCATTTCACTCCGCACAAAAAAATTCTTTAATTTTTCTTTTCTTATTCACTGCTTAGAATTCATCTTTGACTTGAGCAAGAAAGGACGACAGTAATTTATTCAAGGCAAGCAGTTCGTTTCAACTTCGAATATCATTTTTGAAGGCAGCAATTTAATTTAATATCCCAAAAGGCCATTAAATTGGAATAGCTGCATTTTAACTGCACGAAGCATTTTGGCTTTAATGTAAAAAGAAAGTTTTTTAATTTTTTAAAATTTTCATTGCAAAACGACGTTATGACAATTTTTTGTCATTTCATGATAAATTACGAAAAAAATGTCACAAATAAAAAGACATTTCCGAAGTTAAAAGGATGCGAGGAGTTTTTATGTATAAAAATGCTTTTAATTCATTAGAATTTTCAAAGTATGTTGCTATCAAGAAAGAAAAAAGTTTTTTCAAGATGTTTAGAGAAAAAAATATTCTTTTTTCCCTCAAGCATTTTAGCTTGCTATATTAAAACTTTTAGGATTAATTAAAATTAGCATAATAATTAATATATTTTTGAAAATGTTACCAGAAGTTTTAAAAAGGTTGCCTTTTATTCATGAAAATACCATCTTAAATATTAACATATTATCTTACATTTATTCATCAATACGGAAAATATTAACTTAAAATTATGTGAAAAAAATTACAAGTCTAGTGTAATTAAGAATATGAAAGTATTTAGTGAAATAAAATTACTATTTTAAACTATTATAATTTGATCAAAACTACATAAATAATTTCAAACAAAACTTTATTCTATAATTACGAATAATTTAATTATTTTTTTTCCAAAGAAATCTAATTAATATATATTTATCTGTGTCCTGTTTGAGTATAATTCGAATTCAACGTTCAAAAAATATAATTAAAAACAATAATGAATGTTAATATTATTAATGATATATATAAATATTATAATTATATTAAATGCCCTAATGTATAACTTTACATAATTTATTTTATGTTTCAAATTCTTTGTGAACATGTCGCTTAATATTCATTCATTTAAAGGCACTGTTTTTAAAATGATAGAGCCTGCGTTAAGGAGAAATGGTCCGAAGGCCTGGAGACTCTCACCAAAGAGAAAGTACGCGCTTCTGTTGAGAAACTTTTAATGTCTATCCCTCCTAGAGGAAATATATTTAGCGCAACCCTACATAATAGCTGGCCTACAGACTCTCACCCGGTTTAGTGTGTCGCTTTACGATAATTTTGTACACACTTTAGGCTAATTAATCCAGGACCTACAGTTTAACGTGGATTCCGAACCTCCAACAAACATCCATGCCACCGCCAGGATTTGAACCTGACGTCTGTGGTCCCAACAGCTAGAGCGCTAGCCGATTAGCCATCAGGTCGCCTCACTTGGAGA